TGATGATCAAGGACTTAAAGGTTTATCAGAATCGTGAAGTAACAGCAGGAACAACGACGACTTTGGCTAACTACGTATGTCACGGAATCGTCAACGAGTATGTTAAAGAAAATTTCGTTGCTAACAATCGGCTAACATCGTTAACCAAGGGTTACTGTGTTAGCTTTTGATGCCTTGTTTGCTTTAATCCGTATCTGATGAGACGCCTTACACAGCAACAGTAGTAGTCTGACCTTAGTCTTCCAGTAATACAAGGTCAAAACTGACGATGAAAGATGGAAACCAATTATCACGACGAAATACTACAATGAATCAATATAAGAGCATACCCCACTGTATTCAAAGAATCTGCAATTTGGATATTTTCCAAACTTTATGACGGCATAGCGGATGAATGTATTATCTTTACTTGTTTGTTAAGAGGGTGGAAATAAACAAATGTATACATGTAGTTATTTTGACCAAAAGTGATTTATTTAGTTAATTTAATGGCATACAGAAACGCTACAGAATTGCAAAAGTTCACTAGTGCCGTTTTGACTTCTCAAAATGCAGAATAGTAATCCTTTTTTTCTATTATACGACTCTATCTAGGAATATGTATAAATCTTAAACATCACAATGGTTTTGTCGCAATATCGTTCAGTTGGTTTCTACTTAAATAAACTGATGGATATAGACCTATTTCACTGAGAACTTTCAATGAATGTCAAAATTCCATTTCCTAGAGTTGTCTTGACTTTTTTTGTACTTGAAGTTACACAAAGCGATCGTAAATTGAATTCGCCCTTATGAAACCCTCATTCGAAAAACTTGATGTTCTTCAGCTTCAAGTATCATTCTTATCATTTTCTCATACGAAAACAAGTACTTGCTTACTTCTCTTCTTTTTAATGATGTGATATATCCAAACTGTAAAATTTCATGACTAATTCTGTGCATTTTTATTTTGTAAAATTCGATCACTGACAATTCAAGGATCTATTTCATTAGACAAGTCTTTAGTACAAATGGACCTTACTTAGCTTAGGATTTGTTGCAATAATTACTAATTAACAGTACTAGTCATTGTCATATATTATAGAAAGTATTATTACAGTTTCAAATTATTTCGCAACCAAACTTAACAGAAATCAGCATTATCTGCAACTTAACTTACTAATGATTAAAAACAATTATGACTATATATGACTATAAGGTATTGGACTATATATTGTTAAATAAATATTATAATTAAGTGATTAGAAGTTTATCGCCGCTTATAGATATTTACTGCTAGAGGTAGTATTTCATGGTTTGATTTGGACTTTATGAAACTACCTGGGTAGGTATTTACTAGTCAGAAACTACGATGTAGTAGATTATATTTATAGCAAACATCCATCCAAGGGAAAGTGTTTATTTGGGTGATTATAGTATACGGGTTTGTACCAGACTCGAGCTAATTGCTGGTGGTGGTGGGGGGGGGGGGTAAAAGCCACTCAAAATTGCAAAAAACCATGTTTTTGCTTGTTGAAGCTCAGGTAATTATTTTAGGGGAAAAGTTCACATAAAAGTTGTAGCTATTGAAAGGGCCTTTCATATGAGAAATGGATCGATTAATTAGGTTACATAATAACTGGGATCAAAACATACGGATTGGTTCATACATTTTACATTGATGATGTGAACGCAATCTCTCAATAATTGGGTTGGCACATGAAATTTTTAATTAACTTCATTTTTTTAAGAGGAGCGGTATAGTTTCATTCGCGTTGTCAAAGGAGTAATTCAATAATAATTCGATTTTATTAATTTTTGTTGGGTTCTACCTTCGGCAGTTTCTGAAATAACGGAATTTTTTTTATGTTGTGGTCGTTTTACTTGTTTCAATTCTTTTGGTCTTGAAAAAAACACAAATTAACCTATGCATGTTTTCAATTTCAAAAATTAAAAATTATCTGTTTCATTTTTGTAATGTCGAAATGTATTAAAACGTAGATAATTTCTTACTCAATACAATAGTGAAACGGGGATCTTCCTAACTTGTTCTATTTCAGAGATACGATTTTTAAACAGAGTTACTGCAAACAATTTTATTTTCAAAAATGCTAAATAACGTTAAAAAGGGTGACTTCAAACTAATCTTTGGTTACCAAAGTGATCTTTATTTTCAATGAAGAATTAAAAAATCCGATAATAGACAAGAACTGAAAATGGCTGAGTATTATTAAATATAATAGTGAAAGTAAATTAACAAATAATAAAGCATAAAACACTACTGCAAATTACCAAAACGTATTACGGAAAGGTCCGCTATCGTTAGCTTACCATCGGCTTTTTTTATTTCTGATGAGACCAGTACTTATAAATACGATGTCAGTAGAGTTCAATGCAAATTTTTATAAGGCGATAGAAGGCAAGATAATAAGTGCCAAGAAGCGATAAAGTGTGTTTTAAGACGCGATAATCGGTATCAGGGTGTGCCAATCGGCCCCGATCCGTGTACGATTTTAGTGGTTTTGAAGTAGAAACGACGTGGATGACTGGTGAACGAGAACTGGGGAACGAATGTAGCACTACAGCATGGGAACACCATTTAAGAGAATCGAGGTCGACGTAGCCGAATCATTCCCAACGACAGACTCCTGTAACCGATATAACTTAGTCATCATGGATTGCATGGAAACTATAACACCAAATCAGTGGCGGATTATTCATAAGGAAAACTAGGCACATGCCTAGGGCGCAAGTTTAGAAAGGGGCGCGCGCGGATGTTTTTAAACTAAAAATAAGAAAATACCTGTTTCCAAAAAGTATTTTGCAAAATATATGACCGCCAGAGGGGCGTCTACGAGGTGCTAGCCTAGGGCGCTCTCGACATTTAATCCGCCTCTGCACCAAATCAAGGACACACCGTCGCCAAAAAGTTTGTCAATAGCTGGATTAGCCTATATGAACACTGTAAATCCAAGTGTGTTATGAAATGAATGCAAATAAGACATCAAACACATTCAACGTGTCTAACTGAGTTTTAGTATTTCAAAGTAATTCAGAAGAAATTTAAGTGTCTAATTTCTACAGTCCTTTATATGCATAATATCAGTAATACACCTAATATATATGCAGAAAAAAAAAGAAAAACGGTAATTCACGAAATCTGTTTGAAAGTAATGCATTTCATCTAAAATCGCATCGAAGAAATGAATACATTTAAAATAAAATGCACTTAAAGAAAGGTACACACTTAACAATCATTCACTGTATGTGCATTAATTATTTTAGACGTCAAATAACGCAAGTTATGATTTTCAAAAATTATAACAAATTCAAAAATTATGTGAAATCATTGCATGAATAATTATATTTAAACAGAAAATTTTACAGATCGTCTACGAATTTCAAGTAATAAAAAAGAAATTCTTGGAAATCCTCCATGTGAACATCAATTCGTTTGAAAAATTAAAACTAATTTATAATAGTGATGCTGCAAAGGAGGAATTGAAATGTGGTTTACTGCTCAAATTATATGATCGATTGAAACCAAAGAAGATGAATAAAAATACAACACCAGTATTTATAGTACAGAAAGTATGTGTAATAATTCTCTATAAAGTATTGCAACAGCCTTTATTGTTGCAGATACGAAAAGGATTAAAGTACATGATGCATTGAATATGATCATCGGATTGTTAGAAAATATATTACGCATGGGACATTGTTTACCCAAAAGCGTATAAAAATATTCTACAGTATATTGATTTTGAGGTTATGGATGCCCCGCTATCATCCAAAAGTCCTGTCGAAGTATTTATTCGTGAATTATTTATTAAGAATGATAAATAAGTAATGTAAGTATATTTCTGTTACTTGCATTTATTTATCTCTTTTATATTTAAATTCAAATGTTTATAAATAAAATAAAAGTATTATAATTCATAAATACATATGGAATGTTTTATATTAATGCACATAACATGCATTCGAAATACACATTTTCGGTATATTCATTATGAAATTAATGCATATGACGTGTATTCAAAATATACCCTTTAAGTAAGTACAGTAATTACTTCAAACACTTCTAAATGTGTAAAAAGTACAGGGTTTAAACACGTAAAGTGTTTTACAATAAAACACTTGGATTTACAGTGAGTACCAATTCAATTCTATTCCGACCAAGGCAGGAACTTCGAATTGGCTTCGTTCAAGAACATCACTGAACTAATGAGCATTACAAAAACCAGAACCACTCCTTTGCATCCACAGTCTGATGGAATGGTGAAACGATTTATTGCTGCTATGGAGTACCAACCTTTGAAATTTCATCAACAAGTACCAAACTGACTAGGACCGACACGTACCACTTAGTTTATAGATTTGCCATCCATGAGACAAATAGAGAATACCAGCTGCATTTTATTTGGGAAATAACTCAAGCTGTCGATCAGTTTTACAAAAGTGAAAATTTCACATATAGGCTGTCCACCTTACACCAAGAGGCTATAATGAGTTACCTAGACTTCGTTAACAAGCAAGACCACATTTTCTAGAACCCGAATTTTGGAATCCTTCTAGAACAAGGCGAAAGAAGGGGAAATAATAAGTGTAAAGAAGCGATATAGTGTGCGATGTAATTAATAATGGTGGGCTTCATTAGAAAGTAATTAGTTAAATAAATTAGTTAGCAGTGCTAATTGTGCGTAATTATGCGAAATTTTAAAATGTTTCAAAAAACTAATGCTGTTCTGATTCGAGTCTGAAGGGCGTCGTGCGTTGGAGTCGTTTCCCAGCGTTTCGCTAGCGCTAGAGGTCCTTCCATCTCTGATGCTGAATGCGCGTCTCCAACATTCGACAGTCTGCAGACCCAATTCATACAGCATCACTTCATACTCTGGCCGTGAAAGCCGTTACCAATTTATTGCAAAAAGTTTTTCAAATATTTTTTGACTTAAGCTTCAGAAATAAATACTTTTGGGTGTTGACAACACCGATACCACGTTTTAAAGTATTTAACTTACCTTATAGCATAAGCAAACGCCATGACAGCATCCGAAACAAACTGAAGCTGATTTTCGAAAACAGTGTTCTGTCTGGTTAATTTCTCTTTACCAGTACATGCGGTAGAGTATTTCTGATTGTATGGCGTGCTGGAGCTGTTTGGATACCGGCACATAAAATGATCTTCCCAAAACTCTGAAAGTAATGAGATAAAATTATTCTTTTAAAAAGGCGATTTTATCCACATTTGTATTGTTTTTAGTTATATTGAAGTAGTACTTTACGCTGTTTCAGCATTTGACAGTTTAAAAACGTTTATCTGTTTGTAAGTAAAAGTGCCTTGTATTCGCATTGGTATAGAAACTAAATTATGTTTTGTAACCGTGCAGTAAAAATTTATTTCTCCGAATTGTTTTCAACTAGACATTTATTTGTGGATCGGTTAAAACAAATATTTCCCGAATATAAAGTGACTTCAAGCATTCACTTTGGAATGTGAAAAGGGTATTCGTGTTCAATCTGCATCGGTGGTATTATCTGCAGCTGATAGCCTTCAACCATATCAGTGTGCAATATTGTTTCCATCAAAGCTTGAAACTATTTCTTCTATGAGTGGTATACTTTAAAATATGTAGTCCATAAACGAAAGTACCTAGTTAAAAATGATAAAGATAAGATAGTCGTCACTTTAGTTATATTAGTATTTAAATGTTGCTTTTGAAATAAGATTAGAATTACTAATAATGAGTAGTCGTACTCGTTATTTTCGCTGTTTTGATTTTAGTTTAAAGTAGCATCATATCAGCTTTACACACAAAAAGAATCCGTTCGTAGTATACATAAACAGCGGCTACTAATTGGTAATTCGTTGGGACTATAAATAAATTCATTGTTACAATTATATGCATTAACGTATTTCATTGTTGAGTACGTTTTCACAATTTACCAATTTTTGCGACGACTAATGGCTTACGTTGATGCGCGAACGAATATTCGTGACGACAAGTAATTCATTCATATATATATAACAAAAATGTTCAATGTCCCAACAAAAAGTTGTATTGAATCAGTAAAACATATGTAAGTGATTAATTCATTTATTTTGGCAACGGATACAGTTATGCTAACAATTATTTCAGTTAGTGCAGACAAATAGATAAGATAAGTCAGGACGGAAGTAGTAGTAGGGATATAAAGCAGAGGATAGAGCAGGGTCGAGTCGCCTTCAATAAAAATAAGTCACTTCTATGCTCGCGAATGGTTAATTTAGAAATTCGAAAAAGGGACGGTGGGGGCTGCGGTTAGAAGCATTCGAAATGTGGTATCATAGGCGAATGATGAGGATGCCGTGGATAGAGAAGGTTAGAAATGAAGAGATATTGGAAAGAATAGGAGAACAGATGACTCTATGGAAGTCAATGAGAAATATGCGAGATAAACATAATACGATCTTTTCCTGTTATGTGAAGGAGCGTTGTGGCCTAGTGCTATGGATGGTTAGCTGGAACATCGGTGTCTAGGGTTCTAGTCGCAGTCGATTGTTTCCTTTGTTCATTAAATTTGCTTTATTATTAGTAATTCCTTTTTTTGTTGTCATATATTTTCTTTGTTTGATGTTTCCAACGTAGTCGAACGTTTTATATTAGTTCCATAGTGAAATCAGCTCCTTTAGCGGCTGATTGGTAATTCTACCCTCGGGTCATCTGTTCATCCTCATCTCAGTTGTTTGTCCAAACTTTTCAAAGTTATTTGTTAAAGTATAAATAATTTTCTCCATACATTAAACTGCGCTTGGTATAAAACATTCTTTTTGTGGTTTCCCAGTATGCTACGCCATTTGTGGGAGGAGACAGTGTTTTTCCTTCGTTATTGACTTTTTGTATTTACTTATCCTAATGATATCTTAATGGTGGTTCCAAAACACCCTGCTATACATTAGAAGATTAGGGCACGCTTATAACTGTCAGCTTAATACTGCCTTCGAATAATTACCTTCCAATCAGTAAGTTCATTATAGAACAAAAGCAGAAAATGTTCTTTTTTATTGGGGCTTAAGGGTTACCGTAATTGAGTGATTCCGAAACGACTAGAACTTTTTAAGAAACAATCAAGCTAATGTAAGATGTAAAATTTTTGTGTAAGTTTAATTATCCTTTGATTAAGATTTAATAACTATACAAGATCTCATTAACAATGTTTAAGTTTCCTTTTCTATCCGACTGCGGAGGAGGGTTGTGTATGTATGTATGTATGTATATATATATATGTATGTAGATATATGTGTATATATGACTTCACGGTAAGGGAGCCTGTAACCCACACGTGACGCGTCTTCAGGTGGCGGATAGGGGAATGCTCGCTAGATATAGAGGGTAGGAGAGAAATAAAATATCTTCCGCGGTTCAAACAGGCTGAGGAAGGATACCTCATAAAAAAAACACTGCTGCCTTGCAGGTAGGGATTGGAGTTTCCAAAGGCTAGGACATGGCTAAAGTCCGAAATAAAACCCGGATCGGTCACGCCGTCTGATCATTGGCAGTGCTTTGGGGGATGGTGCCCGAGGCTAATGTGTGCTTGCACTGCCGGTATGATGCTGCGACGAGGGACCAGTGGCCACCCCCTTCGGGCCTTGATCAGGAAACGCGTATTGACCACGGAGATCGGAATCCGTGGCGCCCCGAGCGAGTGCCGGTCTGTCCGTGTTTTCCGGGATTGGTTAAGCGAAGGTTGGGCCTCAGGGAACTGGGGTAGGCCGTTGCCAGACCGAGGGTATACCCGCTCCCAATTATTTCGGCCCGCTCCCTTACGCACGAAGCGCTGGCAAACAAGATGGATCAATCAATCAACCAACAAAATATTGAAGGACAGCAGACTTTCCAGAAGGAGATAGCCGGTGTGACTTCGACTGCCACCTCGAGGAGGCAAAACGTTACTGACCCACCAGGGTCACCATGGCTATGGAGTAAGAGCATCAACTCGGCACCTGATGCACGAACAAGGAGATGGAGAAAAGTGTAGCCGCACTTCATCGATTGAAGGCTGTGCTAGAGGAACTTACAGCTCTCACATGCTCGAAGTCGAATGTGAGCATGGTTATATTCGTTCTTCTTCACAACTCCCAAATCTGAACGCCTTTCTATCAAGTATTTCTAAAATTCTTTTAAAAATGGCAAATCTACAAGTCATATGAGACATGAATACAATGCTACTAAATTATTCGGAGTTCCCTCAATAAAGTTTATGCAATTGTTGTTATGGTAGGCTATTTGTCAGAAAAATATTCGAATACGAATTATATTTTTAATTGTGTTCTACGCAGGGAATAGAATTTGGTACCCTCAAAGTTAAAGGAGAGTACCTACTGTTCTTATTCAGTTTCAGGACAAATTATTTAAAAATTTTTGTTTANAACAAGGAGATGGAGAAAAGTGTAGCTGCACTTCATCGATTGAAGGCTGTGCTAGAGGAACTTACAGCTCTCACATACTCGAAGTCGAATGTGAGCAAGGAAATCCTCCGGAAGTTGAAAACTCTGGAGAATACCTTCGCCACGGCGGAACTGGTCATTTTTCGAATTTTTTTTTTAACTCCAATTTATTTACAATCTGTCCTTTTAGGACAATAAGCAGATTTTATATTACAAATAAAATAATGTACAGAGGTCAAATAATATCGTCTTGGTAACAGTCCATTGACCGTACACAAATTACATATAATAAAATAAAATAGATGATTACTTTGTTTCAATGTTTACAATAGAAAATTTATTATTCAATTGTTCTATAACGTATCAATCTTGATTTCATGTTGTTTAAAGTTGGTAATTTTCTGGCAAGCTGGTTTGGATGAACTGATAGCCCTTTTTTGTAGCTGTAGTAGTGTCGTAGAATTTCTGCTTGAACAGGTGGAATTTTCAGATCTTTGTAGATTTGATCGTTTGACACATACCATGGAGAATTGAGGATATTTCTTAAGGGTTTAGTTTGAAATCTTTCTATAATATTAATGTTTGATTTCGATGCGGTGCCCCACAGTTGAATTCCATAAGTCCATACTGGTTTAAGGATAGTCAAATATAAACGAATTTTGTTTTCAATTGACATTTGAGGTCTTCTTCCTAATAACCAGTACATTTTTTTAAAAATTAGATTAAGCTGTTTTCTCTTACTCCAGATGTGATCCTGCCAGGTAAGACGACGATCAAGATGCATACCAAGGTATTTAACCTTGTTTTGTTGCGGAATAGTTTTCTCATTCAGTTTAACCTGCGGGCAATTACTTTTACAAAGAGTAAAAGTGACGTTAGTAGATTTATCCTCATTTACTTTTATTCTCCAATTTTTATACCAGTTATCAGTTTTAAACCTTTTTGTAACACTTCTGAAGCTTCCTTTTCATCACTGTTAGTATGTATCATGGCTATATCATCGGCGTAGGTCGCGATGGTGATGTTGTTAAATGTGGGAAAATCAGCCGTATATAATAGATAAAGCGTAGGTCCAAGGATGCTGCCTTGCGGTACACCTGCTTTAATAGCGAAAAAAGTTGAGAGTTGCTGTCCAAACTTAACTTTGAATGTTCTGTCGCTCAAATATGATTTCAGCAGTTCTGCCAGTTTGATTGGCAAGTATTTTTTTAATTTAAAAATAAGACCTTCGTGCCATACTCTATCAAACGCTTGCGACACATCTAAGAAGACAGCATTACAGTACCCTTTTTTATAGAAAGTTTTTCTTATTATTGTAGTTATTCTATTTACTTGTTCGATGGTAGCATGTTTTTTGCGAAAATCAAATTGATAATTCGGAATGTGTTCTTTTTCTTCAATAACCTTATTTAATCTGTTTGATATTGTAATTTCAGTTATTTTTGAAAACACTGGAAGTAGACTTATGGGTCTGTACGAGGTAACTATTGTTGGATCTTTTCCAGGCTTCGGAATAAGGATTATTTGCGCTTTTTTTAGTTGTTCTGGAAAATATGAAAGGCGATAGATTGCATTCGTTACAATCGTAATAAATCTGACAGCCTTGTTTGGTAATTCTTTGAACGCTTTTCCAGGAATTCAATCGTAACCTGGCGCTTTTTTATTGTTAATATTTTTAATGATATCTGCGATTTCTTTGAGTTTGACGATATTAACATTATTATCGTTTATTACTGTAGTATCGTTTGTGAGTAATTTGTTTTCATCT